CACCCTGCTGCCTTCATGCAACAGCTGGAGATGTTCTCGGAAACTCCATGCCTCCCAATTCAATTAACATATTGGCATCCTACATCTCATCACTCCCAGAGCTCTTATTTATAGCACATGTGAGGCCAAATTTCACCCTCTGATGCATGCAAAGAATTGTCATCGACCTCCAACACAGCCACATATATACACCAGAAGCATTTTTTGGTCCCCAGCTCCACTTCTCGATGTTTATCTCATTCGTCACTAAAGCAAAATGCTCTTCTTACATGTCCTTTCCCCCCAATAATGATTAGCCATCAAACCAGACTATAATCACAAGGACATTGTCAATTTACATACCATGATTTTAAAACCTTTACCTCCAACCCCCCAATTCGCTAGTTAGAGTCACAGGGGGAACACATCACTACAGGCTATTTCCTTATTGAATTCAGTCCCTCACCCACCCACCATGATGCATGCACTTACTGAGTTAGAACTGGACAACTGCCAACACCACATTTGTTTTGCTAGAAAGAAAAATTGCATGGAATTTTGCAAATAAATTCAGAAAAGAACACTTTGCAATTCCGGAGCACCAAGCAAACATTAATGAAGCCTAAAACCACCCCCAATGAAGCCAACAGGAATAATTTGACAAGGGGAAATGGAGGCACGGGGAAGTTAAGTGACTTGCTCAAGTCACAATGAGTCAGTGGCAGAGCCAGGAATAGGATGCACAAATTATTGGGTTCAACACAGGACGAAGTAGATGAAATTCTGTGATATACAGGAGGTCAGACTAAATGGTCTAATGGTCCCTTCTGGCCTTCGTATCTGAGTTCTGACTTCCAAACCACTGCTCCAACCACTAGACCACATAAGCAAGAAATCAAATATGGGGCCTCCACATTTATACCCTGTTCCTTCCTACTGTCAGGGTGATCAGAAGTTCTTTGACTTCCAAACTGTGTTAAGTTCTGAGACTGAAAATATAAGACCAAATTCTATTTTATCGCCTTTTTTAACCAAAGAGTCATCTGAAAACAAACCCTCTCCTAGCGCTCAATACAGCTGCGTAGGCCATTTTCTATATGTGTTGTACAAGGTGAAAGCTATCGAGGGACAGTTCCCCACAGATGTTAAACACGTAACATCAGCTGGCTTGTGAAATACTGGCTTCATGCGCTGGCCTCTGACTAGGCATTCAAAGGCCACATGGTAACCACAGCCATCTGGCTGAGGGCATAAACAAGTGAAATTACAATGATGCATTTGCTGTTTGCAGTACAGCTGAGACCTATACAGGGGCCAGGCGGGTGGAAGTCAAACCTGATCTTATTGCTCCTTATTACTTTGCACCGTAACCGTCAATGAACTCAAGTTCAACCCAAACCTCAAAACCACCACCACCAGGATTCTTTCCTGTATTTTAAGAGGGGTATCCGGACGTGGTGGCTTACATTTGTCAACACTGGTTTATTATTGTAGGGTTGCCGCTGAGTGCTGGGCTGCACAACCTGGTTTGTTATTGTAGGGTTGCCTCTGAATGGTGAGATGGTGGCACTGAATTTTTTTTTTTTTTTTTAAATCATCATCACAGAAGCATTTGCTTTGAGGGAACTTAATGGACTTTGCAAACTAATAAACTAATTTTTTTGCACTTCAAGAGACATCAACTTGAAACAAAAATCACAATCCCCTCTGAAAAACTTTTACCTAAATATTTACACCTTAGATTACGCTAAACAAATGAGATCAGAAAATCTCTCTTTTGGCCAGTTTGTTTACTCTGCATTTGCCAGCATTTTATTGCCAGCTTCACTCCTTCCCGGGGACCAGTCGGGCTCCCTGTCCCAAGCCCCAGCACCGAGACATTATTCGCATGCACCTTGGTGGGTGAACTCCCTTTCCCAGGCATCATGAGAGGGCATCTCCAAAGAACAGCAGCAGCAAAGCGAACTCTGAAGAGGCAAAAGGAAGATGCATGGCCAGGGAGGTGGGAGCAGGCGTATGTTCAATGAGATCGCTCCTTAGCCTGCCCTAAAGACCCTTCTAAACATCAGTAAGGGAGCAGGAATCCCTCAGGAAATTAGTCAATTAAAAATAATAATTGAAGTGGATTGTCCCTTTAATAACAAGGCTCTTACAACACCTTCTCCCTCTGCATCTCCTCTGTCCGCGGAACCCAAATTCCGAGGACTGGACTTAATCGTTCCCATACAGATACCATGGCACTTGTTCAGACATAAGAGTGCACAGCTGGCGCCGAGACAGCTGCTGCAGATGCTGCTTCATTTATTCACTCAGTCGAGAGCCTTCAGACAAAAGGCCCCACTGTATTTAAATGCAAAGTAGCCTGGTCACCCGGCTCCGGAAACGGTGCAATAAGCCAGAGCCGGGATTGATCCTGAGAGGTGCCGAGCACCTGAATTCCAAGAGGGTTGCCCCGAGAGCTGCAGACACTCGGGTCCAGACCCTGGGAAAGCTTTCACTGTGCGTGGGTAGGACCCTGGCCACCATGGCAGCCAGCGTGGATTCACACGTGATCACCATGGCTGAATTTAGGAGAGTGGAGGACAGCTCCCAACCAGGAGGCACAGCGGGAAGGTCTCCCACGCTGACCCCTGTCATCCAGGGCTGTCACCACGCCTGTCCTGGGCGTCACTAATGGCAAAGCCGTGCACTGCGTGCTGTCCCAAACGCTGCCATGGAGAACGCCCTGGAGATTGTGCCAAAGAGAACAAGAGCAGAGACAGAACTCTGGGGTCCCGGCCACTCAGCGAACCCTCCACCTTGTTCCGCCTGTCCACACACCGAGGGGTCTCATGGAACATGAACGGGGACCAGCAGCTCGGCCTCACTCTGGATCCTGACTCAGTGCATGGACCCGAGCAAGTCACAAAGAGCCTAAGCATATTCGGGGTTAATTCCCACTGAAACCAATGGGCGTTCGGCACTGAACTGGCTTTGGTGCTTCTCAAAACCCACCAGACGTCTAGCCGCATCTTTAGCGCCTAAACATCTTTGACAATGGGCCTAATTTTCAGAGTTGCTGAGCACCCACCACACCAGTTAAAGCCTGAGAGAGCTTTGGGGGATCGGGACCTTTAAACCAAGCTTCCTAATCTGTCTCACTGTTCACCCCCGCTGTGATAAAAATGGCTGCCTCTTTGGGGTGCTGCAGAAATGGGCTAGGCTGTGGGTGTCCTGTGCTTTAGGGGTGACCTTGCTGTGTGTATTGCTATTAAGGCTGGCTCAGCACCCTCACAAAAGGACATGACCCTGCGTGGTATTTCATACCCTGATTTGGGGATTCTCCCACATGGAGGGGAGAAATCAAAGTGGCATTAAAAAAATAAAAATAAAATAAACCCTCAACAAACGACCACCCACGCAAAAATCTCTCAGAGCCGGCACAATTTACAGCCAAGGTTGGCGCAGTCCCCCAATGCCGGACGACTGGATTTTCTATCCTGCAATGCTGAGATCAGATGCAACTGTGATGTCAGCCCCCAAATCCCAGGCCTTGCTGTGTCGGCATTTGGGTTGGGCCCTGCTATACAAAGAGGAGATTAGGATTTAAAGCAAACAGGGGTGCTGGGGGGGGGGAGGGGGAGAGGCGCTTTACAATAATGTTGCTATGCTTAACAACAATCCTTTCACAGGGTGCGTTGGGGATTTGTTTTTTGTCCTGAGCCCGTTGGCTCTGGCAGGAGAGTATTTGCCTCCGTAAGCGTCCCTTTGTTTAATTTCACGCCACCAGACAGCAGGCGGGTTGTGGCGACATGTGATGGAGCAGGCCACGTAAGCACCATGAATGGGCATCTGACATCAAGGATTCAGGTCTCAGGCACTGACCCAACTACCTGCTTTCCTTAATGCCAATTTGGATTGTAAAGCACTTATGTAGATTATTATTTACGGTAGCGCCTATGGACCAGGCGAGATGGGGACCGCATGGTGCTAGGTGCTGTACTAACAAAGAGATCATCCCAGCCCCCAAAGAGTTTACAGTAGAAATAGACAAGACAGATAGTGGGTATGGCATAGAGCTAGAGCATACAAGCAAAGTGATGGTTTGCAAACAGCATGTTGGTGCCCCAATTTGGGAGAAAGTGACAGAGAGTCCTATGGCACCTTATAGACTAACAGACGTATTGGAGCATAAGCTTTCGTGGGTGAATACCCACTTCGTCATGAAAGCTTATGCTCCAATACGTCTGTTAGTCTATAAGGTGCCACAGGACTATTTGTCACAATTTGGGAGGGGTTTTTTGGTTGTTTTTCACAAAGCATTCAAAACAATAAAAAAGATAGATGTAAACATCACTCTTAGAGTTCACTCAATAATCACTGAAATGCATCCACCTCGGAGGAGGAATATAGCACTATTAACAGCTCACAGTAACAGCACACAACAGTTTAGGAAGGAAACAAAAGAACATTAAATTCACCCAATACTTTAGAAACACAGAAAATATACATACAATATAGCTTATGAATTGCTTATATAACAAATGCAACTTCCCGACAAAAGCTTTTGGTTTAATTATCATATTTTTCCCAGCAGCAAGGTCTGTGGGAGCAGGTGTTTCGACCTGGGTTTTGTCCAAACTAAGCTGATTTTGTGATTTTATGAGAACTTGCTTTTATGAAGAGCTAAATTCGACTACATGAGCAATCTGCAGCTTTCTGTGAAGTTACAGTCATAGCATCATCATTGGTTGACCATGCCCTGAATGTAGCAACTACAGGAGCTGGATCCCCTCATTTCAACCCTTAGAGGGTTCTCCACAAAGTACCATTATTGTGATACGAGACTGCCCGACTGCCAAACGGTACTGGTGGGACAGGGGAGACTGTGTGTGTGTGTCTGTCTATGTGTGTGGACGTGGGTGGGGAGCTTGCAGAGATGTTTAAGACAGCCAGACCCATTCTGTGGATAAACACGGGGGAGCTCATCGCACCTTCGCCAGCAATCGCAGAGAAAGATTTTGTCCCTCCACCAAACTCACCGGATTGGTTCGGGCTTCAAGTGGTAATTGAGGGCGGAGACAATAACGCTTTCAGAGAAAGGCGGCTTCCTGACGGCTCTCTGGACGTCGAGGTGAGCGGAGTTGCAGAGGGCATGGACGCCGGTGTCCGTTCGGCTGGAGACGTAGAACTTGATGGGAGTGACGGGTCTGAGATTCTGTGCCGCCCGCTGCAATCCAACAGAAGGGACAGTGAGCAAGGGATTCGCAAGGAGGCATTAGGACACAACGCCGTGTTCTTCGGCTCTCCCACGTGCCCTCTCCTGCACCACGGCAATCAACGGGAGCAGAAGCGAGGCATGTTTATAGGCCTGGTCCCACTGAAGTGATCTGACCTTTGCTCTGGTAGAGCATCAATCATACACATTTAACGCGAGCACGTGCAGCAAATGGAACTTCCTGCATCTGTTCATCTGCTTCTTCCTTTGAAACTTCTTTTATACAGTTACACACCAGGGAAAAGAGAACTCCCCACTCCAAGCCCTCTACACATTCACCATGACTCAGTGCTAAGTACTGGCCTCCGATCGTTTGAGCAGAAAACAAAACCAGCCAGCTCTGTCACTGGCAAATATTTAATAATGTTTTCCCGGTTGTCATCAAAGGATCCATTCTGCAAGGGGCTGGGGTCCATCAGCTTTCAAGGACATCAACAGGAGTCCAATTCAGAGGCCTCAGCCCCTTGCAGAAAGCAGACCAGTGGGTGCTTTCGTTTCTTTGAGGCCAACAACAAAACAAAACCCAAATTTCAAACACGACGGGGTGATTTTGGGGGCCCAGTTTCAGACACTTTAAAGGGGCCTGATTTTCACACAGTACGGCGCATTTGCCCTCTGAGAATCAGGCCCCTTTAAAAGACACCTTAGGCTGGACACCCAAAGATGGAGGCACTCAAAATCCCTAGTCACCGCTGTAGATGTAGGCCGTTGCTTTTCATACAATTGTCATCAGGGAAGAAGGAATCACATACAACAGATGTTAGTCACAATGCTTAATGAATGACTGGAAGGTGCCCAGACACTGTGGCGACGAGGATGGTATAAAAACCTAGCCAGAACAGAAGATTGAAGAGGAGGTTGGCTGGTTGTTTTGTAAAGGTTGGTCCTGCTTTGAGCAGGGGATTGGACTAGATGACCTCCTGAGGTCTCTTCCAACCCTAATATTCTATGATTCTAAGGTGACTTCCCCTTTAGGGTGACCCAGATTCTAAATCCAGTTTTCCACCAAGATATGGCTGTCTCAGATTTTCCCTAGCCCTGGTCACTCTTCCCACAGTGCCAAATGGATTGACTGAGCAGAGATGGCATTTAGCAGAGTGGCAGGTCAGGTGGGCAAATCCAGTCCCCTTCTCGGTGACCCTTACAAACTGAGGCAAGACAACCGTTTGCATTTTAAGTCACAGCTTAGACATGACATTTAGTCGATGCACCCAGCGTTTACGTGCAACCCAGCAGCTTATCCTGTGACTGGTGAGTAACTGCATTTACAGTGATTTACCGCCTGTTCTCATTTGCGGACCCCTAAAACATTTCGAATGGAGGTGCAGACCCCTTTGGAAATCTTAGACATAGTCTGTGGACCATCAGCGGTCCGCAGACCAGAGGCTTCCTTACAATGCTATTGATCTTAGCCTGACTCTATGCACACACCCCTAAAAGAACATGGAAGCCATTCACTCAAGAGACACATCAGCAGCACCTAGGGACCGATCCAGCACCCCTGCAGTTTTGACACCAGACTTTAACAGGTGCAGGGTTCACCCTTTCATTTTCAGAGCAGACCCCAGCTGAATAAAGTATCTCAAGCCAAAGATTCCTCCCACCCATAAAGGGAGCAATAGGCTTCCATCAATTATTAAGATCAGAGGAGGGGCTAGCAGATCAGACGAACAGTAACACAGCACCTAGCTCGTGCATTTCATTAGTCTCAGGAATAAATGCTATCGCCCAAGGATCAAGGCACTTCCCCATTAATACGCACATGTAGCATTGGAGCTGATGCAAGGACATACACGCAGGGATATGAGTGACGGGATAAACCATACGGACTCAAGCCACACCCTTCTATTCATTGGTCACGTATGTTACTATGACACAGAATTGGGCTGCTCCTGTTTAAAAATACTGCCTCTCTTTCCTAGTGAGAGTCATCTTAGCATTGACGCGATGTCCTGCTAACACGACTGGGACGTTAGTCACAGCAAGACTAAAATTAAAATGACTACGGGCAATATATTATTTATAGAGCGAGGGGACTGTGTTTTACTAGTGCCACCATACCGCCCTTGAATCACACCGCAGCTGTGAAGTGAGATGGGGGGGGGAGAGGGAAGGGGGGACGACGGGACGGGACAGTTAAAAATTACACCCAATAATACTAAAAATCACCATTTTTAAACCAAGGGTAGCGGAAGTACTTTAATATCTGCAAGGTTCTGCACCACAGCACAGCTTCTACAGGGAATTAAACACCTTTTGAAAGGGATTTCAGTTCCCATTCCCCACCACTCTCCTCCCCAACAGCTGTTTCCCCCCCTTCCTCCTTTGCCCCATAACAAAGGGCTGGAAAAAAACAAACAAGTGCGATATCTTTACTGCCCCCCTACTGGGAAAGTAAAGAAAACCCCCGATAAATGAGTCATTAATGTGGTGTCCTCTAAGAGACTCTATGCAGCTAATTAGGCGTGTCTGCGTGCACGAGCTAGGATGAATTACGTCTTCTTAAAAACCCTAGTGAAGACAGGGCAGGTTTTATTTTAACACGTGAGTGGGTAGGAGCCTAGGGTTCACCAGGACTGACTTTACACATTTTAAAATACAACTTGTCCCGTCTACACTCAAGTTTTCAAAGCATGTTCGCGATCTCATTGTGCAAGCACACCTTTCAGCCTCATGTTCACCGGCCCCTAGGGAGAGACTAAGGCAGTTAGCCAGAGTGGGGAGGACGGAGGGGGATGGAGAGAGATCAGAAAGATGGGCTGAAAAAGAAATAAAGGAGAAACCCAGATTAATGGCTAGCATTGGCTCTCACTCCCCCCCCAAGGAAACCAAGCAGTGATCTTTATTAGATTTCAATTTGGTACCGAGAGTCAATAAAGTTTTAACCGCTCACTCGGAAATACCTTCCAGGCTCCTGCTATTTTAGCAGAGAGGATTCTGGACTCTTAGAAACGTACCATTATAAAGGATGGGGAGGAGCGCAAAAATGTAACTGAACTGCAGGGGGAAGGCCTGGGAACCAGAACACACCCCACCCGAGCCTTTTCCTCTTCCTAGTCCTTTTCTTGGAGCTCACATGTGGTTACAATTAACATTGAAAATCTTTATTTATTACCCTTTAGCAGAGAGGAGCAGACAGAAATTAAACAGTTTTCTTTAGCAGACGTTGACATGTGGCTCCGCGACTTATGGTAAAGCTGAGGTTGCATTTATAGAGCAAACTTGCAGGAAGACGTGTTTGGGTTTAGCAGATTTTGTCAGGCATAGGAGAAGCGTGGCAGATCCACCCTTGGGGAACGGGGCTAGAGCCTGGGAAACACCCTGCTTGGCTTGGTATGGATTTGTGTCTGCTTGGGCTCAGGACTCAGCGGGATCCCCACACCCACCCCATCCCTTCTCCAGCCCCTTTCAAGCCTGTGTCTGAACAGCACTGGAAGGTACTGCAGTGAGAGCCATGCGCTGAGGTTTGGATCTCACCCCTCTGCCTGGGAGAAAGTCTCTCTTTTTGGAGAATAGACTGGAAAAGAAGCGTGGACCGTAGGATCCAAGCAGGGCTGACTGACTGACTGGCACATGGGGAACAATGAACCCACAGAGAGACACAACTGGACGATGGGGACAAAGAAAAGCTATTTTCACAGCTGCCTCCATCCAGCAGGCGTCCTTCCCATGCAGAACTCTCTGGAGAGGAAACTGAAGGATCTATGTGCTGAACATTCAAGGAATAACCAACAACAAAACCGGAGCTATTAAAAGCTATTTTCCCTCCAGCCCAGCAGCCACGTGGTCTTTAATAGATATTACAAGTGACTCCTGCACCAGAATCCTTTTTAATAGCTCAGTGGAAGCACGTCCTAATTAATCTCCCCAATGCGGAGCATTGCTGAACTGCTGACCCCCGTTGCAAGCAACTCACAAATGACCCCTTCACTTATGAGAGTGTCCCATAATTGGACCATCCAGATGTCTTTTGAGCCTATATGCAGCTGGTGGTCTGTTTCCCCCTGATTCCCACAACGCTAATCTGCTAATATCACTCGTACTGAATTATGAAAAGATGCATTATTTACTCTTCAGTAATTTCAGGGAAAAGCCTGATGACAAAATAAAAACACTTTGGACCTGCACAGTGCTTTTCATCGGAGGAACTCACCCCGGCATTACTGATATTAATTAAGCCTCCCAAATACCTCCCCTGGGTATTATCTCAGAGTTCCACATGAGGAAACTGAGGCAGAAGGATTAAGCGACTTGCCCAAGGTCACCCAGCAAGTGGCTGGTACAGCTGGGACTAGAGTCTAGGATTGAAGGGTCTCCTCTCACTTGTGCTGTTTTCACACCAGTGTAACTCTGCTGACTTGAATGGACTTACTCCTGATCACTCCAGTGCAAGCGAGAGGAGGATCGGGCCTTAGAAGTCCCCAGGTGCTGGTTCTTAGCCCACATTGCATCCAAGTGTCCTCACTTTAGCAGATGTTGATTTCTGAGGGCTCTGCCATTTGATGGCTTGACACATGCTGGAGGTGCCTCATTTACCTAGATCCAGTCAACTTTCTATTGGACTTTACTTTCTGGTGTGCAGTCTCTCCAGCCAACAGTATTCCTTGAGCTGGGCTCCACATCCAAGGGTTTCACTTTACCCTGAATTCCTGCCTACGCTGTGATGCATGAAAAGAACCGCTTGCAGTTAGCTGGGCTGTTCTTCTCACAGGTCATTCGCGAAGCGTTTCCACATTTAGAACCGCATGAAGTGCCAGAATGATATGGATCCACATCCCCTATTGCTATTATTCTTCTGGGGCCCATCCTCCCCTCAGTCCACACACCTGCGAACTGCAAGGGTCCCATCTATTTCCACGGAAACTGGGTTCGGTCCCAACTTAGAAGCTCTGGCACAAGGGCCACAAGCCAAGGCTGAGCTGAGAGATTTGCAGAGGGAGGGAATAAAGTCC